CCAGCCATTCTATTGTGTAATTTAGTCATTTTTCAATAAATCTAGTTTACATAGAGGTGGTATTCTTGCTTTAATATAAATAGGGACAAAAGATTATTGTTCAAAATTGTTCAACAGACAGAACTGACTGATAATATATTTGTAATTACCTTATAAAAGACCTGCATCATAATATAACACTAACATTTCCTTTACCTGTCTAAAATATCTATTTTGTGGACATTTATACAACATATTTTCAATGTGTAAAAATTTAAGGAAGGTTAGATGAGAGAAAGAAAAAATCTAATATTCAATTTTGGAACATATTTCCAATTCTTGTCGGTTGATTTCAGGTCAGACAATATTAAAAACCTCTTGGCCATAAAAGGGAAGATGGAGAAGAAATTTACTATAAGAAATGAGGTTAAAATTTTATTTGTAACAAAAATTACAACTAGTTCTATTATCAATTATTATACCAATGACAGTCAGTCAGAAATATAAAAAACAGCTACGTTTTTGTGCTTTTATAATATGATTTTACAGAGTCTGACAATTATTCTGATAATTTGTCAACTTTTGAAATATTTAAAGATGGAGAAGTTAAATGTACTGAATGAAACAGTAATAAAGCTATTAATGCAATTGAAAAATATGTACAAGAAGAATCAATTGAAGATCTGCCAGAGAAGAGAGGTCAAGTTGATTCAATGTTGAGGAGTAGCAGGCTAGTTCCAGCTGAGGTTGTTTTCAGGTTAACTTCTCAGATGATTGGAATAAAAAAGTGAGGATTTACAAACTATGAGGAGGTTGATTTCCAATATTCAATCATCAATCATCACTTTGATAAATATTTAGGATGACTAACTGATATGAAATATATATATTAACATAGTTTAAAGCATAAAGTATAACAAAAGTTGTACACTAAGGTAAATATTCGATATCATTGAATTTTAATTATCATTCTTTTGACAATGCAATATTTCAATGTAAATTGTTTGTACGATTATTAAAGACCAGTTTACAAGTAAAAGTATTGATCATTTTTAGAAATTTGACCCTAAAACTAGGAAAAATATAAACATATATTAAAGTATTAAAAAAACCATTTAATGACGCCAGCCAAAAAGTGAAAAAACTGAGAAGAGAAGAATTATTTTGAAAATATTCACTAAACATTCTTCCAATAACAGAAATAATAAATGGAATCCATAATATATAGAAAGCTGAAAATGTTAATATTAATACTTTAAACACTCTTAGATTTCTTTTTGAATTTCTTAATTGCTTTGAATTTGTATTTAAAATTGAATTTTGTCTTTTTAAAAATGAAACAATTTTAAATGTTGATAATAATATTATTGCTGATGCTGACAATGGTCCAACAAAAGTATCAAAAACTGTATGAACATTTAATGTTATCGCTAAAGCGCAAATTAATTCCTTTTTTTGAAAAGTATAATATTCAAATTTAAAAACTCTCAGGAATGGTAAAGAACTGAAACTATATAGAAATAACCAAGAACAACCAATTGCCATCTTTATTCTTTTTGCAGTTACAACTCTTCTATATCTAAAATACAGCACGCTAGTTGTTATTTTCTTTCTTTAACCATTTGTTTATATCTACTCACTTGTCAGGATATCCTACAGCAATGTAGCGATCAACTGATACTATTGCTATAGACCATATCGATATAAGAGCATTTGCAATAAATATCACACCAACAATTTGACAATAGACAAATCCATATGGAAATTCTCCAATTATTGATGAAATCAATGATGTTGGAAAGGAAATAAAGTTGAATATAAAATCACTTATTGAAATATTTAACAATAGAATTTTTGTTATCTTTGGTATTTGACTTATCTTTCGTAGAAATATCAAAGCGAAAAATGTTGAAATAAATGTTAAAGTCACTGGAATTCCAATCACAAATGATCTCAATGGATTCGAAACAGGATGATTAATAGTCAAGTTGAAAAAACTTTCATCGTTCATAATTGATTTGAGAGAAAGATAGATAGATAGATAGAGAAAGAGACTGACAGACAGACAGATAAACACACAATGACAATATCTACAAGTATTAAATTTTGTCAAGTCATCTTTTTTCACAAAGACAAACTAACATCAGAAAGAAAGATCAAGAAGATAAAAAACAGCAAATCTTCTCAAAAACTCTAATATGACATTATGTTTCCATGACAACACATAAAAACTAGTAAACAACGCATTATTGCTTCTAATGGATTTGTCATAAAAAGTTCAAAAATTGCAGATGCTTTTCCTGGAATTCTATATTTGATTTGAATTTTATTGCGTATGGGATAAAATGGCCAATTTTTTGGAAAATCAACAGACACGTCTACAAATGAGAAATTAAAAGGTTAGTTGTTGGATTGAAAAATGTTTAGGAAGAAGAACTGATTTGCCCTTAGGAGGGTCTCCTTTAAGGGTTAAGGTTAATGGCAAAGCCTGGTATAGCCAAGAGCTGGGTTAGGGGAATACGATAGAAGTCGCCCAGGACAGAAGTCGCCCAGAACAGAAGTCGCCCAGAAATAGGCAGAAGTCGCCCCAGTAAGTGGGAAAATATCATTTTTCTTGTTGTTTTAAATATTTTAAGTCTTTTGTTGATTTATTTAAGTTTTTCAGGGATAAAACAAGAAATGATGTGCACTTGGAAATAATAATGTAATAGACTTCAGATATTACAGAACTTTAGAAAGGCTTTTATTTCATAGCAATTATAATGGTGCAACTATAGAATGACTTTTAGGTTGTAGGAATTATAATTATCGAGCTTCAGAAAGATTTCTATTTAGTAGAATTAGATTCTATAACTTTAAAAAGACCTTTATTTTGTGGGAAATATATTCTTTGACCATAAAAGATGGTGTCATTATGGAATTAACAAAGGAACAAACAATATAGAAAAAATGCATGTCAAACTTGTTACATCTTATTCAAAAACAGATGCAGAAGAGGCAGGCTTGTTTTTGCAGTGCCACATCTTAGCCTTAAGTGATGCAATATTTTTCATGTTTTTGTTATATATGCATTGTGAGACTGTTACATTTCAAGTTTGCAATCCTTTGACCAAGGTAACCCAAGCTTTGGTAAATGTATAAAAGGAAATACATTTCTCCAGTTTGACAGTTCAGTTCAGTTCTGTAACCATCAGCTGGTTGTTTAAACTTGCTTATTTAGAACTAGAAACTCATACATATCATTTCAGATGACTTCATCAGAAGTTTTGCAAAAATGTTCTGAACTTTATTCAGAAATTACTCTCTGTTTGAAATGAACAAGAAAAAATAGTCTCTATTCAACTTCATCTATTTATACAATTTTAATAACTGCACAGGGCGAGTTCTGTCTTTGTCCTGGGCGATTTCTGCCCTGGGCGACTTCTGTTGATACCGGGTTAAGGTTAGGGTAAAAGCTGTCATTTGTGGATCTTTTCCGTCGTTTTACCCTTCTAACCTTAGGTTCAGCCCTACATGAATTAAACTAATAAAATAGAAAAAATAAACAACAAAGTCCTAATAAACACAAAAAGGATTATAATATAGGGGTAATTAAAGCTTCCTGAAAGAATCCTTCTGTTACTATGGCAATTGAAATGCTATACCTTTGTTATTCGTTTTAAGGAAATATTAGATCCATACTACCGTTTTATCTATAGTCAGTCTAGTCTATAATGCTAAGATGAAAGGTTTTTCTAATATTTACCTTTTTTCTCAATTTCACTGTACATTTTTTGATATTACCTATTGGTGTGCAGAGCGCCCTTTCAACTTTGCTTGAACAAGTAATTCTTCCTTATGGAAATATATTGTTCACCTTGCTTAACTACAAAATACAAAATGCTTAAGAGCCACATTATAGTTTATCCTAGTGAAATATTGCAAGTTCCTGTGCACCTAAAAGCTCTAAATAGAATATCTGCAATTTGAAAGAGAGAGAGTCAGGACCATTGGAAAAAATGTCCTCAGAGAACTATATCCATCATTAAAGGTTGTCTCTTTTATAAAACAGGGTGAAAATATTTTAGTCACAAAACTACAACATAAATAAAAAATTACTGTCCAGAGTAATTGTGCTCAGTGTTTATAATGAATTAGCATTGTCACCAGACTCAAATCAACCCCAATCTTAACTATAACTCTAGTCCTAGCCTTATTTTTAGAGCACTATGGATTGCTTTCTGTCGTATCCAAATCTAAATCCTATCTTTTGGTATTTTACCCTATCCCTAATCAGATTCTTTTCATTTTGTGCTTGTTAACCCTCAGGTCGGATCTTCTGTATTCTCTGTCGCCGAAAAAAACATTTAATTACCTTTGCTATCTGGAATGTGTTCAAAATTTTATTAGTCATTGCTGATTGGCTATTATTATCTTCGGCTGATCAATTCCTAACACATTTTTGACAAGCTGTAGTGTATTCTGAAATTAAATAACAATGGATCAATCCGCTTGCCCTGGTTTGAATTTCTCTCTGAGTAAATACCAGTTATGTTCATGTAATTGTCAAGTGAACTGGTAACATCACAATACATAGATTTTGATTTCACCAAAGCTGTAATTATTGTAATAAAATTAAAAATATGAGTGGCTTAGTGTCTTTTTTGAATGTTTACTGATTTAAAAAATAATTGTCAGAGATTATAGGCTTTTTGGTTGTCAACTGTTATTAATAAGTGTTTTTAAGAGAAATGAAGAAGAGTCCTATAGCACTCGGCTACTCATCCCTTAAATCAATGAACTAGTAAATAATGAATTATCAAGTGAAATGTGTAACAAAGTATTGTGTAAACAGTTAATCAATAAATCTATTAGATTAGACAAGTACATGAATTGTTAAGGTGATTCTGTGTAGGTAATGTGAATGTGCAATTTTATGTTACTTCGTATAAAATAGGCCGCCATTTAGAAATTGATGGAACTATAGCCTTTTAACATCATTCATTACATAGAATTGAAAACATCTTTCAATCAATTGAATAGCCTATTTTAGGTGAAAGTAATGAAAATCTCTATGTTGTTCTCACCTTCTAAGAAGATTTCTTTAACAGTTTCTTTTGTTAGCTGACTATCCCATATCATAAGTTCATCAATGTCGCCTTTCCCTAAATATTGTGGTAATAAATTTGTATTCATCCCACCAATGTAATAGTTGTTGTATGAAGTTGATACGGTTGAGTAGGTTTTCATATCATACACTTTATCAGAAGGAGGAATTTCAACACCATCGATATAAGCAATAATATCATTTCCCATTGGCCATACTACAGCTAAATGAAACCAAGTATAATGTATATCAAAATTTGTAATCCGGAGTCCATATTGTTGAGTTTTACTCCTTAAATAACACCATAATTCATTCAGATGGGGTTTACCTACAACTGCAATTCCATATGAAGAAGATGTATGACCTCCATTCGAAATGTAGTACTGCTCAATATTAGATTTTATTACATTTAGCCAAACGCTAATACTATAACCATTCGAACACAATGATGGATTGTAGATACAAGTTGTCCTATTATTTTCGACTAGAAGTAGCCTTTGAGAACCACTCATATGATATGCATTTCCTTTCACTCCTTGCACTAAATTGTCTAATCCATCATTGAAACTAAAATACTGTACAGCTGTTAAAACAAATGGATTTGTGATTATGACAAAAAAAACAAGAAAAATCAAAACAAACCATTAAAAGGATTCTCCAAAAGTAATAAAGGGAAATTACTGAACAAAACCACAATTAACAGCATAGTTTGCAACTTTTGGAGTGAGAATGCAAAAAAAAATATAAAAATTGCTGATTAATAGCTGCTTATGGTAATTTTTTCAATCAATATCAATACTGATATAATTATTGGACAGACAAAATCCACTCTTCTTTATCAATGAAGTCTTTTATTAATTGGCGTAGGGCAAATTGATCAAATTTCCTTATATTCGATAAAAATAATACTATTTATTCCATTAGAATATTGTGGTATGAATATGAAAGGACTCATAAATAACCATTGCTATCTGAAGGACGTTGACCGTTGATAATAGTAACATCATAGGCCGATACTTTCAATTAATTTTATTCTATGGACACTATATATCAATTTATTAATATTGAGAAAAGAATAAATTCATTGTCCTAAGCAAATACTTTGTGAAAATTTATCCTCACATGGCTTGTCATTTAGAGTATTCCACCAAATTCTCATCATCTAAGGGTTAGGGACAGGCAATGGTTGGGTTAGTGTTAGGGTAAGAGCATTCATTTGAAAGTAATTTCAAAAATTGTGTTATAATTAAAAATCTATAGATATTTACTAATCTAGTAAAGTATACCATTCAGCCTATATGAACTAAAATAGTTATTGATGTATTTATTGAATAATTTTGAATGTAAGGTCTCCTCAATTTAAATGTTTAATGCTCAAATGAACAATAATTAACTCCTTCTTTTTTTCAACTTTCTTCCCTAACAGCTGGCTAACTTATAAATATTACCAACAGCAAACACCATAAATGCTGTTTTCTTACTCTTTGAGACTAGATAATGTTGAAAATGGTTTTACTTTGCAATTGGTGATTGCTTGTTGTTTTATACACTAATAACTAATGAGGTTAGGATAAACTGGTGCGATTCCTTTCTGTTTAATAGAATTGATTGGCGCTAAAAATAATAAACTTAAGATGTAAGTGCTGTACTGCTCTTGCTTGGCCAAATTATGCATTTGCAAGTTACAACAGTACTGGTTCTACTCAAACCTTTAAATAAATGTTTAAATTAAAATGGTTTATTCAAATAATAATACTTAAACAAGTAGCAATATGAGCAGAGTAGATAGTTCATAATAGAAGGTTGCCAAATTACCAAACTGTCTTCCAATGTTAAGGAGTAGATGGATGGCTCAACCTTCACAGGTTGTTTCCAGGTTGTCTTCCCAGGTCCTTGGGTCCAGATAAGAATGCTTAGAATGAAAATAGTGAGGATTTATATACTTTGAGGTTTGCCTCTGATATCCAATCATCACTTTACAGTTGCCAAACCCTGTAATTCCATATGGGACGGGTAGAAAACGGCCAGGATTGAAAACGACCAGAGTTGAAAATGGCCAGAGCTCAGTTGAAAACGGCCAGAGCTATGATTGAAAACGGCCAGAACTCTGATTGAAAACGGCCAAAAACCTAGTTTTATATAGATACTAATAAAAATAATTGTTAAAAAAAAAGACTTAGATGCTACTTATTGTTTTATTTAATAACGTAGATATTTTTAGTATTTAATTATATTATTTTTAACTAGTAAAAACCTTCACATAATTAAATGTTTGTGAGTGATAATGTCACAACTAAAATAATATACCAGTTTTCTTTTGTAAAATGCATATTTCACTGAAACTATTTCTGTTTGAAACCAGTAGGTAACAATCTAAAATTTGATAATTTAAACATGTATAATGGCCATATTAGAGGGTTATTTACTTTATGTTTAAAAAGAACTGATTTTGTTCTTGTTATTATTTTTTTTTCAGAAAATTTTTGATTGCATTTCCAAAGAAAGTTCTACTTTATATGAGACCACTTTCAAAATGGCTCCTTCTTGCTATTCTTGCCAAACAAAAATATATAAAAAATATGAATGCATATGCAGTCTACGCAAGAAAATATTTCACTTGAAATGTTTAAGAGGTAAGACTTCATTAGTTTAAAAAAACTTTTAAAAGTTGTGTTTTAGATGGTTTTTGCTCAATGTGCACAACAATCAACAAACATCAATTAAAAGTTGTTTTGAACAAACATGATGACATCTCCATTCTCTTTCAACAACAAGAAGTTGAAAAAAACACTGCAATGGAGGTGGACAACCAAGCTTGCCCTTCTGATAAAATAATGGGAGAAGAAAGTATGACAGAAGATGTTGTTACTGCATTTCAATTGGAAGAAGAAATACAAACAAGTCATTGTTAAATCCTAAATTCTGTTCTGGAGAATGAAAATATCATGGAAGTTGATCATGAAGAGGAATGTATGACAACTGATAAAGTACAAGAAGATGTTAATAATGGATTTAATGCCCAAAATCATATTGAAAGCTCTTTTGAAGACATAATGGATGAAGCAAATTTAAATGATGATGGAGCATTTAAAATTTTCAAGAATGGAAGCCAAAAAGGAAAACCATTAATGATTCACAATGGCTTTTCATATACAATAAAAGGACATGGAGAGCACTTCAGAATATGGAGATGCAGTGTGAGAAATAAAAACAAAAAGTGTTCTGGAAGTATAAATGAATATAAGGGTAATTGCCAAATAGGCTCCAAACAACACATTCATCATCCAACACCAAATTTGGAAAAAATCATAGAAATGAAAATCAATAAAAGAGAAAGAGCAAATAAGGATTTAAATGTAAGCAGCAAAAGAATAGTAGAAGACTCATATCTGCAAAATGAAAATGTGTCTAATTTTCCAAATATATCTACATCAAAAGCAATTGTTAACTCTCAAGGGAGGAAAAATAGACCAAAGGAACCAGAATCAATAGCTTTTCTGCTAAATTTTACATTTATTCCAAATGGATTTTTCAGAGAGGATATTCAGAAAAAAGATGAAAGAATAATAATTTTTGGAACTCATCACCAAATGCAACTGCTATCTTCTGCAAAGATGTGGTTTTTAGATGGAACTTTCAAAGTTGTAAATCCTCCCTTCAAACAGCTGTTTTCCATTCACTCATTTCTGAAAAAAGATGGTGTGCTTAAACAAGTTCCTCTTCTTTTTGCAATGACATCATCAAAAAAGAAAGTCTGTTATTCTCTTTTATTTAAGGTATACTTTAAATACTATTTTGAAAAAAGTCTACAAATATTTCTTCATGCTGTAAAAAAATTGATTCCTGACAAATTACCAAAGAAAATACTGGTAGATTTTGAAAGAGCAGTTTGGAAGAATTTACAAAAGCATTATCCAGATGCTGAAGTAAAAGGCTGTCTCTTTCACTGGACTCAGGCAGTTTTCAGAAAGATTCAAGTGCATAATTTTTTTGTATTTAATATTTTCTTAAAAAACTAATTTTCTTTTGGATTTTGTAGGAATTGGGTTATTCTGCTGAATATAAAAGCCATACTGGACAATGGACTGAATTGAAAAAGCTATTGGCATTACCATTCTTACCTGCTGATGTTATTCCAAATGAATTTCATAAAATAAAGCAACATTTGAAAGCAATCCAGAAATTGGAGGATCTTGTTACTTATATTGAGGCTACTTGGATTGAAGATAGTCTGTGGACACCATCATCTTGGTCAGCATATGAATCTCCTATCAGAACAAATAATGA